CACTTCACAAATCTGGCCTTTATGGAAGAGTGGCAAAGAAGAAAGCTATTGTTGAAAGAAAGCCATAAGAAGTCCCGTTGGTTTGCAAGAAGACATGTGGGGGACACAGTAAACATGTGGAAGAAGGTGCTCTGGTCAGATGAGACCAAAAGTGAACTTTTTGGCCTAAAAGCAAAATGCTGTGTGTGTTGGAAAACTAACACTGCACATAACCCTGAACAACCACCATCCCCACCGTGAAACATGGTGTTGGCAGCATCAAGTTGTGGGGATGCTTTTCTTCAGCAAGGACAGGGAAGCTGGTCAGAATTGATAGGAAGATGGATGGAGCCAATACAGGGCAATCTTAGAAGAAAATCTGTTAGAGTCTGCAAAAGACTTAAGTCTGGGACAGAGATTCACCTTCTAGCAGGACAATGACCCTAAATATACAGCCAGAGCTACAATGGAATGGTTTAGATCAAAGCATATTCATGTGTTAGAATGGCCCAGTGAAAGTCCAGACCTAAATCCAATTGACAATCTGTGGCAAGACTCGAAAATTGCTGTTCACAGACGCTCTCCATCCTATCTAACAGAGCTTGAGCTATTTTGCAAAGAAGAATGAGCAAAAATGTTGCTCTCTAAATGTGCAAAGCTGGTAGAGACATCCCCAAAAAGACTTGCAACTATAATTGCAACGAAAGGTGGTTCTACAAAGTATTGACTCAGGGGGGCTGAATACAAATGCACGCCACACTTTTCAGATATTTATTTGTAAAAAAATTTTGAAAACCATTCATCATTTTCCTTCCAGTTCACAATTATGTGCTACTTTGTGTTGGTCTACCACATAAAATCCCAATAAAATACATTTACGTTTTTGGTTGTAACATAACCAAATGTGGAAAATTTCAAGGGGTATGAATACTTTTTCAAAGGCACTGTAGGTACAGTTCACAAAAGTTTATGCTGATGGGGGTTTGTAGCAAACTTTCCTCTCTAATTCTTGAGTGACAGGCAGGTCCACCACATGTGGAGAAATGTTTTTGGCTTCAAGCAACTCCTAAAACAGTCTGGTGAAAGTCCTGGTGTTACATGTGCTAGGTGAGTGTGTATGTAGTACCATTGGTGTAGTACTTTATAATTAGTTTGCATTCCCTTTACCATGGCTTTTAATGACATTCTGAGAATTAGATTTGATGGTACACCATATTTGGGAACACATCTCATATTCCAGGGTGACATTTAGAGCGGCTGTCTATTATGTCATGTAATTATGCGTGGGTAATGAGGGTCTATGAAAAAATAGGTTATACAATAAAATGATTATATCCTAGGAATAGGTCCTCCCTGCATTTCTGTTTGAAAGGCAGTCTATTTTTTTTTTTCTTTCTTGCTCCCCCTGCCAAAACTTAATGTGAAAACACTCGCCCCACCAGTCACATGCTTTTTTTCAATGATTCCTATGGACTACAATACCTATACTGGGACTGTTGTTAAGATCTAGAATTGCCCACTAGGCCAAAAAATCCTAAATTGCATGATCTAGCTATAGTACACCATGAGATCTCGAAGATTAACTTTTATAAATATTACTGGACTGAAACAAAATGCTTGACATGTAGGTACCTAAAGAGGTCTGAGCTGGGTAATTGGTGTGTTTCTTGCAACAATGCGAAAGCTTTTACACCTTCCATCATGAGGGGTCAATGAAGATGAGGGATATCTGCTGTGATCCAGTGTTTGAAAGGCACCAGGGAATACAAGACCTGCAGAGAAAGAGGTGTTTTGAGGATGTAAGTCAGTATTAGATGGCTGGATAGAAGACCCATTGAATGTTCAGCACCTCCCACACTTTGAGAAACCGGAGTATGATAGAATCTTGTAATGTTGTCCTATCTAGGAGTATGCCAAACTGCCATAGAGTTTAGAATGGTAAAATGTGTGCCCAGGTAACTGCAGCCTATTTCCTTTCCATAAAAATTACAGTAAAATGTGGAGTAGGTTGAGTAATTTCAGTAAGTAGGTAATTTTGACTGGTTATTTGGCCAAGCCAGGAGAGCAGAAGGTATCTCAGGTCATGTGAAGGGCTTCAGATAAATTCCCAGGTAGGGGAGTTATTTAGGCTCCCACAGGCATGGAAAGGAATGTTGCATAGAGTAAACCAAGTTGGTTGGCAGAAAGACATTGCGAGCTCTTCACTTTTTGTAATTCATGTATAGGCCTGGTAGCTTGCTAGAATGTTTAAGAATAGCAGCCAACTCAGGTAAAGAGATTGCACAATTTGTAAGGTATTGGATAGTGTTCATAAATAGGGAGAGAGTTTATGGTGATGTCCTGAAATATCAATAAGCACTATACTGGGGTTTTTCCTAAAAAGTTGTGATAGGGTCTTGATAAATAGAAGCAAGAATAATGGGCATAGTCCCATAGCCAATGGGAAATGGGGGAGATTTAAAGTCACGATTCTTCACACTGGCTGTGAGAAGTGAATACAAGGAAAATATTACTTTAGAAAATTTTGGGTCAAAGCCCCATTTCTGCAAGGTAAAGAACACGTTTGGGCATGACAGTGATTCAAAGGCTTTTTGTTAATATCAAGTGAGAGTATCATGAGAGGGATATGAGGCTACCTAGCAGCCTCTATTAAGAGTTATTCAGCAGAAACTTTCACATGCTTGTCTAAGGGGCATGAATCCCATCTGGTCCTTATGGATAAGTTTCCCCATATTTGTATTAAGCCTATTTGCTAGGGACTTAATATCAACAATGAGAAATGAGAATGGTCTATAACTAGACCAGTTTGTGTTATCAGAGTTGAGTTTTGTAATCATGCCTATTGCTTCTGACAGGGATTCTGGTGTAATGGGACAACCATGCATCAGGACGATGAAGGTATCTGTCAGCAGTGGAGTTAAAACTTGAGAGCTATTTATAGTAAGCAAATGTGAAATCACTGGGGCCTAGTTGTTTATTGAATTAAAGGGATTTGATCATAGTCAGAACGTCTGTTGGTGAAAGGTTAAGTGAGTCTGAAACCTTTAGTATGTCAGTTAAAGTGAATCAGCAGAGAAAGCATCAGTGGATGAGTAAAGATTGGCTTGGTGTTGGTAGAATTTGTGAACAATTTTGGATGGACTGCAGGCATAAGTGTCATGGCCTATTTGTAGACGGATCTGTTTTAGCATCAGGTTTGTGTTGTGCAGGCATGATGCAAGGAGTGAGTTATGTTCATTACCCTTCAAAGTAAAATTTGTGCTCAGTCCATCCAAGCTGTTTGTCTGCAGAGATGACTAGAAGTAAGTGAAGGTGCTGTGTGTCTTGATCATGTTTATATTTTATCTGTTCTGGGGTAGGGGATTGCTCAACTTATCTAGAAATTTGCATGCCAACTGGCAGAGTCATTTAGTGGTCTCGTTTGAGATTTGAGGCAAGTTGGATACATTTTTCCCTATCACAGCCTTATGGGCCTTCTATAGTGTAAAGGGGTGCCTGCTGTAAAAAAAACTTTGAGTAATAAAACATCAGACAGAGGCTGGCTAACTTCTGTAAATGAAAATGTTTCTGAGTATGACATATCAAACAGTTTTTAGATGTTTGATTCAATAATAACCCAGTATCTGCCATTGTACAAATAAATGAGCAGGGCCATGCAAAGCTATTCTCTATTGTGTGGTTTTGATGGCAGGTTTAAGATCTAGGAGGTGTGACCCAAAGGACCAAAGCTCAAAGACTGCCAATTGCAGAAATGTGGTCAGTGAGCCTACAGTTCAGCTGTATCCTAACTTTTCTGTAGCCTTTCCTTTGGTTTTCAACAAAACCACATGTTTACTAGTAACATACATTTTCCAAAGAGAACTGAATTACAATGGTTCAACAGGTTTGTTTAATATGCCTGTGCAGAGAATAGAATGTTAAACTGACTAGGCAAATGACCTACTAAAAATCACAATCCAATCTGTCAGACTGGCTGAAAATTCACTCTATACTGTATATTATCAGCTTGAGACGGCTTGTGTCAATACAAAACTAGGCAAACATATTCCAACATAATAAAAATCCTACTTCAGAAAGCAATGAAAATGTAAAGCCATGAAACAAGCCACTTAAAACTGCACTTCTATTTCCTTTTGTTCCCTTTCTTTAATATTTACATTTCATGTCGAACACTGTGTTGTTTATGTGATAATTTGATAGAAGGATCCTAGGAGGTATTTTGGCAGAGAGCCTTTTCAGCATTTTATTGTACAGCAGTAAGTCAGAGAGAAGCAATTATAGCTTTGAAAAATAGCGTATAATTCACAATTTGCAAGGTCTACTCAGCAGAAACGGGTTCCATTATATAGGTCGTTTGCAGCAGAAAATGTCTCTTGCAGTATTAAAACAAAACTGCCAAGAATCAGAGTCCATGAGCTAAAACAGCACTTATGTTTGGTAATGGCAATTCTCCTTCTGTGGCAATGAACACACTGATATAATAATACACTACCCCATCTACATTCAATTGTAGGGCATTCGGTTTTTGCTTTAAATCAGAAAATTTCACCTCTCTATTCAATGAAAAATTAATATTATTTTAATGACAAATCAACAGGAATCCTGAAATTTGCTTTGCTCATGCTTTTTACAGGACCAGCTAATTACAGAGCCATTTATTTCTTGCTAAGGACAAGTGGGGGGGAAAGGAAAATGTACTTTTATTATAAAATAAAAAAACTTAATAAAAAAGTTCAGAATATAGACAATGAGAATAAGCACCACTATTGTCTTTGCAAATGTGTTTAACTTGTTGCCGACCGCAGATAGCCGAATGACGGCTGCACTGTGGCCGGCCAGTTCTGAGTGGACGTCATATGACGTCCCCCCAGAACGCGCTCTCTGGGGCGCGCACCCGGCGATCTCCGTGATTGCTGTGTCCTACGGACACAGCTGATCACGTGATGTGGTAAAAGGCCAATCACAGCGGCCTTTTACCACCTGATCAGCGGTGTCCAATGACACGCTGATCAGAGGGAAATGCAAGTGCCGGTTCTCGGCTGCACTTTCCTCACGCTGTCAGATCGTGAGGAAAGTACTGCCGAGAACCGGCAGTTGTCAGAGCGGGGATCGGCACCGATCATCAGGGCACTGATGATCAGTGCCCTGATGATCGGTGCCCAGCAGTGCCACGCGCAAGTTCTGCCCACCTGTGCCCTGCAGTGCGCCCACTAGCTCCGCCCACCTGTGCCCAGCAGTGCACCCACCTGTGCCCAGCAGTGCACCCACCTGTGCCACTCTGCAATTTCACACACCTGTGCCCAGAAGTGCCACCTACCTGTGCCCAGCAGTGCCACCCACCTGTGCCCACCCACCTGTGCCCACCAGTGCCACCCACCTGTGCCCACCCACCAGTGCTGCCCACCAGTGCCCCCCAGTGCAGCCCAGCAGTGCTGCCTGTCAGTGCCACCAGTCAGTGCCAGCGGTTGTGCCAGTCAGTGCCGCCAGTCAGTGCCCAGCAGTGATGCAAGTCAGTGCCGTCTATCAGTACCCATCATCAGTGTCACCTATCAGTGCCGCCTATCAGTGCTGCATATTAGTGCCGCCTATCTGTGACACCTCATTAGTGCTGTCTATCAGTGCCGCCTATCCGTGCCACCTCATTCGTGCTGCCTATCAGTGCCCTTTAGTGCTGCCTATCAGTGCCCATCAGTGCCGCCTATCAGTGCCCATCAGTGCTGCCTCATCAACGCACATCAGCGAAGGAGAAAAATTACCTGTTTAAAAAATTTTATAATAGAAACAAAGAAACTTTTTTTTTTCAAATTTTTGGCAATTTTTTATTTATAGCGCAAAAAGTAAAGTGCCCGTGGCGATTAAATACCACCAAAAGAAAGCTCTATTTGTGAGAAAAAAATGATCAAAATTTCATATGGGTACAATGTTGCATGACCGCGCAATTGTCAATCAAAGTGCGGCAGCGCTGAAAGCTGAAAATTGGCCTGGTAAATAAGGGGGTATAAGTGCCTGGTAGGCAAGTGGTTAAATGAAGTATGGTATGTTCCTCGTGAAAGAACTTTTGTGACTATATTTTCCTACAATTCTATCTAGAGCAGTGTTTCTCAATTCCAGTCCTCATGGACCCCCAACAGGTCATGTTTTCAGGATTTCCATTATTTTGCACAGGTGATTTGATCAGTTTCACTGCCTTAGTAATTACCACAGCTGTTTCATCTGAGGGAAATCCTGAAAACATGACCTGTTGGGGGTCCATGAGGACTGGAGTTGAGAAACACTGATCTAGAGGGACTTCCTAATTGGCAATTTTGACAGTGCTACCTAATTTTGTAAGATAGTCAACTGCCAAACCTAACCAACAACTTGAATTATTTAATAGTAGGCACTATCATTTACAGGCATACAGGAAAAGGTTCAGGAGTCTGCCAAAACTGAAAGCAGTCCTGCAGAGAGATCTTTTCCTACACTCAAGTGACTGCTGGTCCAGTATTACCATTGACAGTGCTGGCAGCCACCTATAAATCAGTTCCTGTCTGTTTATTTTCTACTGGCCATAGACTTATAAAAATGTATGTTGGGTTTTTCTAAAAGGGCTTTTTTCCCTCTGCGGGTTGGTGTGCATTCTGCACGGGCCGTAGGGGTGATGCCTTGTGTTTATACAGCACAAGGCATTGTTCACTTAAATTAACAAAGTGACATTTTATTTGTTTCCAGGTATCACAGCTGTGGTGCATAGAAATGTACAAATTGATAGAGACTTAGTGCTCTGGTGCAGACAAGCTGCCTTTTTCTGCACTTCTCCACTCCGAGCCTCTTCGCTCTGTTGCATGAATGGGGCACATAGATAATAATTGCTCTCTGTGTGTCCCTGCAAGACCAGCATTTTTAAAGTGTAAAATACCAGTTAATGTCAGGAGCACTTTGTGATCACGTATTGCAGCTTGTATAATCAAATCTGAAATTCAATCAGCTTATATTTTGACTTCCCTGGTTCATCATTTCACCTCTCCCCAGCTTGCAAATTACATTTTAAATAAATTGACATTTTTATTACACATCTTAGTTTGGTCCCAGTGATAGCATCACTGGGTCTCTGTGCCTCTCCATGAAATGTACTGTAGACATTTCATGGAAGGTGGGAGGAGCCAGCAAGGTGCTGTACATAGCTTCCTGAAAACAACACAGCACCCTGCCTCTCAAGAGCTCTCAGCTCTGACGTAAGCAGTAGTCTGGCTATAGGAGGAGCTATGCAACTATAAAACATAATTAATGGGTGAATAGTCAGTCTGGAGCAGTGAAGCCAGGGTGGAATGGGCTAAATAATGCTGGACACCCTCCAGCCAGAAAATAAGGGAAGGTTTTGTCTGACTTGCTGCAAATTCTAATGCACATGGTGAGAGGCTAAAAGTGAGCAGTGAAATTAGATTCAGTATTTTCAGAACAGAACAGGAGCCTGTAATACAGAGCGTTAGGGTGGAATTCAGCTTTAGGGTAATGAGATGGAAAACACTGCTCTGGGGGGAATCAGCAAGGGGGGAGCCAGGAGCACCAGCGGGAGAACCGAGGAGGATTGGTGCTGCTCTGTGCATAACCACTGCACAGAGCAGGCAAGTATGAGAACATGTTATTTAAAAAGAAATCTGAACCTTTAGTATCATTTTAAGCAAATATAAAATGCCACCTGACATTTAATAACTATACAGGAGACCTAAATGCAACAGTGCAAAAAATGGCCACTGCCCCAGACTATAACTGGCCTTCACAGCAAGGAGCACATGGAAGGGCGATGCATGTCAAACAACAAAAAAGAAAAATTCCCAACTCAACTTACCAGCCAGCCTGCAAACAAACTGAATTAACCTGTCTAACAGTATGCGTTAAAAACAGGGGTTTAGTTAGCACACATTTGCAAATACATGTGTAAGCTACAGAGCCACATCACGGCACCCCTGTATTCTGTAGTTCCTAACTCTCCAATTTTAAGAGCCCCCATAGTAGAGGCACATGTATTTAATGGATAGACCAAAGGGCAAAATGGTGCATTGGACACCCAGCAGGTAGCACAATGGCAGCTAAGGTGTCCAGTACAACCCCTCGACCAACAATTCAACAGTACAAAAAATGCCCACTGCCCCAGTCTATAACTGGCCTTCACAGCAAGGAGCACATGGAAGGATGACACATGTCAAACAAAAAAAAGAAAAAATTCCCAGCTCTAACTTGCCAGCCAGCCTGCAAACAAACAAATTAAATTGTCTAACGGTATGTGTTAAAAACAGGGGTTTAGTTAGCATACATTTGCAAATACATGCATAAGCTACAGAGCCTCGTCATGGCAGCCTAGTATTCTGTAGTTCCTAACTCTCCAATTTTAAGAGCCCCCATAGTAGAGGCACTGAATGTGCTGTGGCCTTGTCCCTTCTTAGCACCACCCATTTGGCAAAGTGTCATCCCTTGTAAGAAATGTGTCATGTCTGCTAGAAACAGTTGCCCCATGATTTCACACATTTGGAAGAATTTAGAAGTAAAATGGCTATCCATACATGACCCCTCATATCAGTCTACAATCAGCTCCATTGCTACCTCACCTCTCTTTACTCCCCAGTCCATGATAAGGTCTTTCCCTGCATTCTCTCTTAGGAAAACATGATTGGTGGCTGCTCTCTCCACTTCCTGCACATTAACAACAATCAGGTTTTGCTCTACTTACTAACTCCCCACTGTCCATGATTAGCACCTGCTCAACTTTCTTCACAGCCAATCAAAATTATATTTACCTTTGTCCCCCAAATATGCTCAGCTCCACTATGTATTCTCCAGATGCTCCATAATCAGATCACACACCTCCTCTATTCATTTCCCATAATCATCTGCCTCCTGTAAGCAACACAGATGTACAGTCCACAGTCAGCTTAAACTACTCCCCATATCAGTTAAGTGAAGTGGCACACCAAATAGTATGTGGCCAACTAAAAAACAGTTTGAACTGTAATGCACATCAGTGTGTTTGAGACCCAAATCCACTTAGTCTAAATAAACCGTTCCTGGACAGTCAAGCAGACCTTACACTTCCTAAACTGTCAGACTCTTTGCGTCAGTCTATAGCTGTTGAAATATCTTTGCAGAAAGTACAACAGGAGATAAAATCATTGAAACCTGTCAAGAAACTGGGACCAGATGGTTTTTACTACAGTTTACCAAAAGCCAAACTCAGGACAGGGTTGTCTCTCGATTGTGACTCTTTACGGTCCAGTTTGTATGATTCCTAAACTTGGAATGAACATAACCTCCTGGGCTAATTAATCACCCTATTTCTCTGATAAATATAGATGTCAAATTGTTGGACAAAATCCTAACTGCAAGAGTTAACTTTGGTGCTAGCTGGACTCATTTCTGAAGGCCAAGTGGGATTCATCCCAGGCAGAGAAGCGAGCAACAATGTCCATAAGATCTCACTTCTCATAGCCAAACTAAGACAATGCCCAGTGATGCTTCTTTGTCTTGATATAAGAAAGGCTTTTGATTCCCTCAGCTGGGAATATTTACATTTTGTTTTACAACAATGGAGATTTGCCCCCCCTTTCTCACTTGGATAAAGATGCTATACAGTTCTCCATCTGCATATATCAGGTACTGGGGCTGCCCCCTGTCTCTATCACTATTCATTCTTGTGACTGAACCCCTAGCTCAGGCAATCCCCAAGCACCGGGATGTGGCAAGGCATGAGGTTGTGGGCTAGCACCATAAAATTTGTCTATTTGCAGACAACGCCTTATTGATACCAACTAATCTGCTGATCTCCTTTCACAACCTTTTGCCTCTCATGACTCGCCTTTGTCGTCTTTCATAACTTTATACTAATGAGACTAAGTCGAAAGTCCTAAATGTCTCCATACCTTCGGAAACATGGAGCGTCCCTAACTCTTCTTTGCCTTCTCTCACACCTTCTCCTTGCCCTACCTGGGAGACCATCTTAATGGACACATTATACAAAGTGAACTATTTGAAATACTTTACCTATTTGACCTTGCTCCTCACATCCTGGGAAAAACACATCATCTCAAGAAACAGTGCTGCACTGGGGCTGTCAAAGGTATGCCCCTAAAAGGAGTAAACACATAGAAGGGACAAGGTAGTCTGTCCCATGAAAGCTCATGTACTGATGTACACGATTCACATACGTGGACTGCCTCACAGTGTGCACATGGCTTGTGCACATTCCTACTGGAAGAGAGAACCAGGACATAGACCCCTCACTTCAACTAAATATTGTGTAGAGGCTTGAAAGCTCCAAAACATCCTATTTCAACAATCAATATAATTTTGATAACTCATGTATCGCCGAATTTACCATATTATATTATATCACTGAATAGGAAAAAACTACAG